GATGACAGACTCAGTAGTCCCTTTTTTGGTTTGGCTAGCCAGCATCACAGCCCTCGGTGCTGCCGGACAGGTACCTGCCAGAAGCGTAACCAAAGGGTTGAGCACATGTCGTTCATAGAGGTGGCATCACCAGTATCCGTCTTGGTGGTGGGTCCGTGACAGCCCCGTGGGTCCAAGCTGTGTGGAGGTCAGGACTCCCCGTGGGCTCACAGCTGATGGCTCCAGACAGACAAGGCTGCTCTCGGCTGCAGGGTCTCCACCTGTGCACAGAGACAAAGGTGGCCTTTGCTTACAGATGCCTCCAGCGAACGTCCCATGAGGGCTGGCACAGAGGGCTGGGAGTGCCGATGATCTCCTTCCTTAGCTGGGAGGAGGCAGCAAAGGTTTCCTCCTCTCTCGTACTCACTTCTAGCAGAGCAGTGCTGGCTGGTGGGCAGCCAGAGCATGCAGACAGATGTGGAAATGAAGAGGTAACAACCAGGGAATGATGAATAATCAGCATCCAGATACTTTTCCAGGCCAGCTTGAAAAAAATCTGTTCACCATCATATTAAACTGCTGCAACTCACTGAATCTGATGAGGTTTGGCTTCCAACATCAGAGGCAAATTCAAATGTGTATTTTTAATCTCTCTACCATTGAAATCATGCTTGATTAAAGCAGCTACTGTTTGCAGCAACAGCTGTCCACCTGGTGTGGTCTTTGCCAAGACTGAGATTGGCCAAAGCATTTCTGTTATGGTAATGCTGGGAATGCTGCTCTGCTCCATCTAGGAGAGCTCTGGTGTTTGCTCCACCCTGCCAGCTCCAACCCCATGGGACAGCTTCTGCACTGATTCACCCATCTGGGTTTATTTTGTTTTTTTGCAGTGATTTCTAACAGAGATATGAATGGCATCAAATGTGCTTGTAGGTCCTGATATCTTTGTTAACAGGTAGGTACAGGGAAGATGCTGGCACAGCACTGTAAGCACCTCCCCGGACTCAAAGGGCACCTGTTCTGACACTGTGCATCCTCCTCCTGACACGGTGCCATGGCAGTACTTACCTCCACCTCTGCACAATAGACATAAGCGGCCCCCAAGCTTTAGATGACTGTAGCAGTTTTTGCTGCCATCACATGAAGGTGCTGGGGTAAGGGGAAGCGGGTGCTGGGTGAAGGCTGCAGGGACTGAGGGCTGGAGCACTTGCTGTGCAGCGTGCCCTGCTTTCCTCTGCGCAGCTGGCAAGTGCCCTGCAGGCACGCGGATCGACGCACAGCAGCACCGCCACCTTCTTCCTGACGCTGTGCCCAGCAGCCTGGTTTTATTGGCTTAGGTCAGGCTCAGTGTGTGTGCAGGGCTGGGGAGCAGGGGCAGCAGCGTCGCTGTACACTGCTGGGGTGGAAACATCCAACTGGGAAAGCACGACCCTTTTCTGCCCAGGGAGCTGCAAAGCTGGAGGGGAATTCATTCACCAGTAGGTGGTTATCACTCCTCAAAGGGAATCAATGCAACGGGAAAGTCACCTTCTGCTAAATCACAGCACACCCACACTAGCATTGCTGCTTTTGCTTGCCCCCAGCCATCCCTGCTTTCCAGCAATACGGCTCCTGAGCAGGTTGGGGGGTCTCCATCTCTGCCTTCAGACTTGTCATTCCCAGGGAGGCGAGCCAGAGCACCTGCAGCATTTTCCATGGATCCTCTGTTCTTTGCCCAGTGCCACACAGGGTCTGGGGCCAGGCGCAGTCGAGAGGGACTGTGCCAACAGCTGTACCTATGCCCTGCACAGCGCACACCTATCATCACCTTGCTGTGGTGTGGGTAGTGCTTCATACACCATAAAGGTGTTTATCTGGAGCCCTAGACAAGGAAACTAGCCCTTCTCCTTGCTGAAGAAAAAACTATTGCTGCACAAATACCGTTGTACTGGCTGACCAAGGAAAAAAAACCAACCCCAAACCCTTGAGTACTTAAATGGCAAAGAATATCCCATCTTTAAAAATTCCCCAAAGACTTCTACAACAACCTCTGCTTTCCCCTCTTCCTCTGCAAACAGAGGCACAGCCTCAGCTTAATCACCACCAAGCAACAGCGAAAAATCTTTAATTATTTGAGAGCAGAACTTCACAAAACTTGTAAGTATCAACAGCCCTCTCCAGCCCTGGCACAACTATTCTGGCATGGCCCCTTAAGGACTGCTGCATGGACAGCTTGTCCTGTCTGAGCTGCAGGCATGTAAAAATAAATATTTCAAGGTCAAATACTTACGGAAGAAAAAAAAAGTGTATTTATTTAGCACAGCCTAAAGTGACACTTAATTTTTGTAATACTTGAAAAACAGTAACTTTTTTTTTTTTTTTTGCATGCTTTGCAAGCTTTAGAAGGCTGTAGCCCTCAGTTTGATAAACACCACTTGATAGAAGGGGAGCATTTAACTCACAGGCACCCACAGAAAACAGCCTCCCAGCAGCCCCAGCTGGGAAGACCCGAACACCGTGTCCAGGCAGCGCCATGCAGAGCTGGTCTCTGTCACCACACAGATGACAGGCGCAGCTCATCGCCTGGCTCACAATGGCCAGGGCAGGCGGCAGCCAGAGACCGCGTGGACAAACTGAACAGACTTTTACAAACACTTACAACACGCTGTTTTGCCGATACCTTTGCTTTTGCCAGAGAAGCCGCACCAATACCCTGACACCTACGGCAGTGAGCACTGCAGTTC